ATTAAGAAATGATTTGTATTGTATATATAAATGTTTGGTATTTGCATATATCTTTTCATTATCACAAATGTACTAGACCATCATGGATTATCAGCACTTAAGATATTTTATGTGATCAGTATGGAGATGTGATCATATACAAAGAGTTTCATTTCTTTGTTCCCATTCATAGGTCTCACTGAAGTCCTGAGCAAATAAAATTACTCTTTAGGCTATTGTGGCATTTGCCTCAGCTGATAAGCTTGAAGATGTAGTGTGTCATGCTATTTCTCAGTAAGGGTCAGTCTCAAGTTGCATTATAGGTACTGTCAACCTAAATAGCAAGTATGCTGTCTTAGGACATTTTAGATGCTAACAACAACAGCAAGAAAAGCCATATGTTTTTGGGTAATGCTTAAAATTATTTAGGGATTATCTTTGTGGTTTAAAAATTATTATGTTAACCAAATTCATAAATAAGCAGTATTTTACAGAACTTTTTATTGATTTCTGTCTTACCTCAGGCTGTGGTCTTAATTTCAGAAACTAATTTCATGGTAGAAATGAATTGGAATGATTACACTATTCAAGCACTTAAGCTTTTTACTGCTTTTCAGACTGAGTGCCCTGAAAGAATCAAGCCAATCAATCGTGCTTTTTGTTATGTGCCAGGTAACCAATTCTGAAGGTACATGGGTGCAGCTGGATAAGAACAGCATGGTAGAGTTCTGTGAGAGTGATGAAGGAGAGGCATGGTCCTTAGCTAGAGACAGAGGCGGAAACCAGTACCTCCGACATGAAGATGGCAAGTTGGCTTAAATTTGTGATTTATTCCAATTAACCTTTGAAATACAGAAGTTTAATGTATATTGTATTGCTTTTGTCTTAAAGAGTTTCATGTGTTCATTTTTTAAGGAAAAGCCAAACTAAAGATTAAAAACCTTTCAATTGTTAAAATTGGTTTATAGAATACATGGGTACTAAATGAGTGCACATAAAAGAAGAAACTTAAAGAAAGTTTGAAACATATGAATTAATCTTTATAAAACATGCTTTTTATTTCATTAATATAAATTTGTATGCCTTATTCTTCTATGCCAGTCCAACACTAAACATTTTACCCTTTCTATCATGAAATGGAAATTCAGTTTTCAAACCAATTGCAGTACTTCTCCCAGGCAACTTCATTTGATTGAATTTTGACTTGGGGGAGGGGAACATTGAATAAATACATAACATCTTTTGGGGGTTTTCTATTTGTTGTTAGAGTTTCAACTTTCAACTTTATCTGTTCAACATTGACCTCAATAATAAAAGATTTTCCTTTTATTCCCCCCTCTCTTTAATCTCCTGGTGGCAAAAACTTGTTCTTCAAAGTTCAGACCACATCAGTTCTATTATAGTGAAGTTAATTTTTATTTCTTCATACCCAGATTGTGAGTCCCTTGTGGACAGGCACAGTGTTTTTATCTTTGCATTCCTAGTTCTAAAACTGTTTTGACACAAACCAGTTGATCATGAAGTTTGATAAATACAAGATGAATTGTAAAAATAATAGAACATCAAAGTAAGTATGTAAACAAGGATAGCCTTGTCTGCCACATCCAAAAATGTGTAAGATAAGGTTGAATAAAAGAACTTGTTTTGTTATTCAAAAGATAATACATTTATAATGCTATCCAAGAGATAACATGG